GAAAAATCTTCCATCCACAAATTTACTCCTCAAATGGTTGCAACAGCCAGGGCTGGGCCAGGCTGAAGTCAGGAGCCTGGAACTTTGTCTGGGTCTCCCACATGGGTGCAGGGGTCCAGGTACTTGAGCCATCATCTGCAGCTTCCCAGGTGCATTTGCAGGGAGCTGGGTGGGGAGGGGAGTAACTGGGACTCAGTCCAGCGCTGTGATATGGAATGTGGGCATGCCAAATGGAGGCTTAACCTGCTGTGCCACAATGTGCCCCTCATGGTCTTTTTTGATGGCTTCTCTGAGCAGCTGCTGGTGGCGGCTGGACCAGGCGATGGGGCTGCTGCGGGCGAAGCTCCTCACCTGGAGCGCTTGGGACACAACGTGACTGCTTGCAGGGCTCTGACTGGGAGCGGGAGGGACGGTGTGAAGGAAAAGTTTTTCAGATACAGAAGGGGCAGGTGGGCGGCATGGCTTATGGCCTGACAGTGTGCAAGGGTGGAGGCCTGCTGTGCTGGGTCTGCAGATAGACACAGGAAGGCTTTCCCTGAAGGCCTGGAGGTGGGGTGGGGTTGAAGGGCGGCTGGTGAGCCACGCAGGGAGACTTGGTTTGGGGGAAGTGCCTGGCCGTGGGGTAGGGAGTGATCTGGTGGGCACCAGTGACGTGAAAGGTGCCCAGATCGTAAGGAAGGCCTGGTGGACGGAGCCAGCAGGGAGAGAGACACTGCTGGTGAGGTGTCTTGGGGACCAGAGCATGGTGATCGCAGCTAAGTGTGCATGTGTGCGGGTGATAGCAGAGGAAGTCGGGGACCCCAGGGTGTGGCACAGGTGGCTGTGTGGGTGGGTGCCCGTGGCCAGGCTAAGGGAGCAGTGCAGGAGGGGCCAGCCTGGGCCGTTCCCAGAGCCAGGGTCTGAAGGAACAGACTGAAAAATGGGCTGAAAAGAACTTGCAAAAAGCACAGGGTGATCCCTATATCTCTTGATCAAGTCTGGAACCCTGCAACTCCCCAGAACCCTCAAGGAGACTTTTCTCTCCCCCATCTGCCCGACTTGCTTGGGCTTTCTGGATGGGGAGTGTGGGGAGATTGTGGCACAGGGCAGAGTGGGGTGTGCAGGCAAAAGCTGGAGCTAGTGGGGGCTGCGGAGCTGTGGAGCGTCCTCCCTGTGGTCATTCACACCATCATTCAGCGTGTTCCAACTACCTACTTGGACATGAGGGCCTACATTTGTGGGCTTGGCTTTGAGGCCCCCGGAGTGGAGCTGAGCATTGCCTTTGCTGTTCCCCACGCTGCTACCCCCATGCTGCTGTCCCCAAGCTTTCCGTGTCCCTTTTCCATAGGCCTGCAGTCCTGACCCCGCCTCCTTTCCTGCCCTGCAGCCATGAACCTTCTGAATTGCATGCCCCTGTCCAGTTGTGGTCCCATCTTTCTGCTTCTTTGATAGCGCAACTTTCTGATAAAAAGGTTGGACATTCGGTGCAGGGTTTTAGATGCTGTGTGGGCCACCTGCATCCCATGCTGGAGTGCCTGGGTGCCAGCCCCGGCTCTACTTCTGATTCCAACTTTGAGCCAGTGCACAGCCTGGGAGGTAGGAGGTGATGGCTCAAGTAGTTGGACCCCTGCCACCAGTGTGGGAGACCTGGGCTGAGTTTCTGTCTCCCAGCTTTGCCTGGCTCAGTGCTGGCTGTGGTGGGGTTGAGGGCATTTGGGGAGTGAATCAGTGAATTCTCTCTCTCTCGCTCGCTCTCTAATAAATAAATGAACATAAAATTAAAAAAGATGTGATACAATTGTGTGTGCCTTGGTTTCCCACTCCTCCCACCTCTCCCTGACCCCACCCAGGCCCTGGTAGCCACCATGTGGCTGAAAGTAACAGCCTAACCCATCGGGCTGTTCTCCATTCTGGGCAGACTGTGATGGAGCTGATCGGTCTGCTCCCTAGAGTGTTTCTGTCTGTTGGTTTGGCTTCCAGGGTCCCATGCTCTCTTTGGCTTCCCAGCTCCTCCTTCCTCCCCCGTAGCCGTCCCTGCTTCCTGTCCTTGGCTGCCTCTGGCTTGTTTACCCGTGTCTCGGCATTGGAAAGTTCTCATCTTCTCCACCTTCACTCTGTGCCCTGGGGTTCTCGCCCAGCAGCCGTGATGCTGCTTCAAGCCTGTAGCATCTCCAGTGTCACGTGGTCCAAGCCTAACTCCTGATTTCTGTCCCAAGTCTGTTCCCTCTTGGTCAACAGACAGCGCCCCCCACCCCAATCATTCCTCTGGGTTCCCCAAAATATCACTCCCACCCTCCTCTTAAAATATTGTACTTTTTGGGGATAGTGCTGTGGCACAGTGGGTTAAAGCCTGAACTGCAGCACTGGCATCCCATATGGGTACCTCTTTGTGTCCTGGCTGCTCCTCTTGCGATCCAGCTCCCTGCTAATGCACCTGTGCAAGTAGCGGAGGATGACTGAAGTCCTTGGGCCCCTGCACCCACGTGGGAGACCTGGAAGAATTACAGAGGGCTCTTCCTCTCACTTCACTACCCAGAAGAAGCTCCTGGTTCCTGGCTTCAGATCGGCTCAGCTCCGATTGTTGCAGTAATTTGGGGGGTGAACTAGCAGGTGGAAAGACCTCTTTCTCTGTGACTCTACCTCTCTGTAACTCTTTCAAATAAATTAATCTTGAAAAATGACATTTTAAAATATATTGTACTTTGAAATTTCTGTTCTGCAATGTTGGATACAAGCACTCTCTTCCTTTTTTGTTTTAAAGATTTATTTTTTAAAAAATTTATTTGAGGGGCTGGTGCTGTGGCGTAGTGGGTAAAGCTGCCACCTGCAGTATCAGCATCCCATGTGGGCACTGGTTTAAATCCTGGCTGCTCCACTTCCAATCCAGCTCTGCTTATGGCCTGGGAAAGCAATATGATGATCCAAGTCCTTGGATCCTTGCACCTGCGTGGGGGACCTGGAAGAAGTTCCTGGTTCCTGGCTTTGGATCTGTGCAGCTCCAGCCGTTGCAGCCATTTGAAAATGAACCAGCAGATGAAAAACCTCTCTCTCTCTCTCTCTAGCTCTGCCTTTCAAATAAATAAATAAATACATCTTTTAAAAAAATTACTTGAAAGGCAGAGCTAGAGAGAGATCTTCCATCTGCTGGTTCACTCCCCATATGGCCAGGGCTGGACCAGGTGGAAACCAGGAGCCAGGAGCTTCTTCCAGGTCTCCCACACGGGTGCAGGGGCCCAAGGACTTCGGCCATCCTTCACTGCTTTCCCAGGCCGTAGCAGAGAGCTGGAGTGGAAGTGGAGTAGCCGGGACTTGAACTGGCACCTTTATGGGATTCCAGCATTGCAGGCAGAGGCTTAACCTGCCACGCCACAGTGCCAACCCCAACATTATCTTTCTTAGCTGTGTCTGAAACATACTGGAAAACTGGCGGCTTCTGACCCATCGCTCAGCTGGTGCCCTGCATCCTGCTGGGCACTGCTGCAGCCTCCACCCCATCTGCAGCGAGGTCTGTGGCCTCTGTCTTCAGAAAGCTCCACATCCTCCCGGTTCCAGTGCCCGCAGTCCCAGCCACCACCATGGCTTCCTGGGTTTAGGGCTGCGCTCTGCAAGCCTGCCTCCCTGCAGCAACACAGGGAGCCTTTTCCCCTGGAGCCGCGGCCTGGCCTCCTCTCTGAGGACCCCTGGATGCCCCTTCTTGCTCTCCTCTCCCCTGCCCTTGCTCCCAGCCTCCACCTTCTGCCAGCAGCTCCACCCCTCCCAGCTCCCCCAGCTGCCACTCCATCTTTCCTTGCTACCTCCCACTCACTGAACTTAAATGCACATTTATTTTGCCTCTGGTTTGTCTCCCAGGTAGAGTGGCGACTTCCAGGTTTATTTATTTATTTTTTTAAGATTTATTTTTATTTGAAAGTTACAGAGAGAGAGAGAGAGAAAGAGGTCTTCCATTCTGTTGGTTCACTCCCAAAATGACCACAACGGCCAGAGCTGAGCTGATCTGAAGCCAGGAGCTAGAAGCTTCCACCGGGTCTCCCATGTGGGTACAGGGGCCCAAGAACTTGGGCTATCTTCTACTGCTTTTCCAGGCCATTAGTAGAGAGCTAGATTGTAAGTGGAGCCCATATGGGATGCTGGCACTGCAGGCTGGGGCTTTAACCTGCTGCGTCACAGCACTGCTCCCCCTCTCCCTTTAAGATTTATTTATTTATTTGGAAGTAGGAGTTGCAGAGAGAGGGGGGAGGGGGAGAGAGAGAGAGAGTTTCCTGCTGCTGGTTCATTCCCCATATGGCTATAATGGCCAGGGCTGGGCCTGGCTAAATCCAGGAGCCAAGAGCCAGGAGCTTCATCCGGGTTTCCCACTTGGGTTGGCAGGGGCCCAAGCACTTGAGCCATTTTACACTGCTTTTCTCAGCCATTATCAGGGAGCTGGATAGCAAGTGGAGCAGCCGGGACATGAACTGGTGCCCATATGGGATGCTGGCAGTGCAGGTGGTGGCTTTACTTGCCACAGCACTGGCCCTCGACTCTAAGTTTTATACCTTCAGCAGCAGGTGTCATGCTGGATGCCTCATAGGGGCTTGGCATGTGTGGCCTGAGTGTATGTGAGCTGGCACATGTGGAAAACTTGTGAATGGGTGGGTGAATGAATGAATGAGCAAGCGAATGAATGAAGGATGGGTTCTAGCCAGCAGGGAAAGGCTGTGTGGGTTTTCCCTCCTGATTTCCTTTCCTCTGTGGCTTCTTTCTGCTGCTTACCCATCTCGTAGGTGACAACTTGTTGCTCCGATTTTAAAACTCCGGGTAAAGGGCGGCGGTGGTGCACAGCTGCCGTCTGTGCGGCCGTTCAGAAGCGCAGAAGGCTCTCAGGACGCGCGCTTTTCCAAATTAATTAAACCCTGCTTCCCTGGCGATAAGAGGCCGAGAAGGAAGTCGGTGGCTGCGGGAGCGAGCGGCGCGAGAATCTGGGTCGGTGTGTCCCGGCTGGCTTGGGTGCCGCGCCGCTGAGTCTTTGTTTTCTCCTGTAGGTCGCACCCAGGACGATGAGCGGCTGAGATGGAGGCGCCCGCCCCTGCCACTGGCCCGGAGAAGAAGGAAGCCAAAGGAGGGACCCTAGAGGCCAGCGGTCTCGCCGACCTCGGCACAAAGACTTCTCCACTGGCGGTGGCCGCGGCCGTTGCCGCCCACGGAGGTACTTTGCGCGAGCTGTACGCCCAGAGAGTGGCAGGATTTAATGAGAAATGAGAGTGCCAGGGGTGGCCCGCGGCACCGGGGAGTTGTGCGGGGTCTGTGGAGGGCGCCCTGCCCCAGGGAGCACCATGCACACGGAAGGTCGCCTGCGGGATTGCCCGGCACAGCCAAGGGTCAGGGGCCTGGGCTTCCCTAGACTGCGGCTCCCTGCTGCTGGGTGCGTTCAGCTGGCACATTTGCCCTGTGCCCGGACCCCCTCTTCACGCCCCTGCCCGCGAGAACTATTTTGGAGCGTTAATTGTCTCCCGATGCCTCTGGCTGTAATTAGAGGGTCAGGTACAGAATTGGAGTGTCTTCGGCGAATTTCTGGCCAAACTTAATTATAACAGAAGGGACCACGCCAGCCGCAGCCTCTCATTTCACTACCCCGGAGAGAAACGCTCTCTGGTTTCCGCTGGTCCGTGCCAGCCTCCCGCGGGGAGGGTTTGGCGGGAAGGCGAGACCTCCCCTTGTGTCTGCGCCGTCCATCTGGAGGCCACAGGACTATTTCTGTCTCAGAGGAGTGCAGAGCCTGAGATTTCTTTTCTGTGCCTTTTTATTCAAGTGCATTTAGTCATGCCCTGTTGCTCTCGCTGCTGCTCAGCCCGGAGGGGTAGCAGGGAAGGGGCTGAGGCTGAGCCTGGCGCTCCCTTCGGTGCGCGCGCGCGCGCGCGTGCTCCCAGCCGGTGTGGGGTCTCCAGCAGGGGCTGTGTTTGCGCATTTTTGTTCCTCGCTGCGGGGCTGGAGCCCAGGGAAACGGAGTGTGTGTGTAGGGCACAGGGGCCAGTGTTGCTAAGAGTGTACTTGGGGACCTCTAGGTCGCTGTCGTCATATTTATTTTCATTTTCCCCGTGGTTCCGGGTTGAAGGTTGCCATTGCTGCGTGTGGCCCAAATGAGGAGACAGAGATTGGAGGCTCCCTTTGGGATCCCTCGGGGAGGAGGAGTGTTTGATCTCCTGATCTGTTTTCCTGGGACCTGGGCTCTGCCACGGGGATCTGTGGAGGGGGTGGGGTGGGGTGGAGTGGGAGGAGCCAAAGCTGAGTACCCCTCCCCCCCCACTCAGGGAGGAGTGGAGGACTCTGAGAGGGTTTTAGTCACATGGTGTCCCAGGGTCAAGGCCTGACCTGGGGTGTGCCTTTAGATGCTGCTGAACTCCAAGGAGCCTGACCTCCCTCTAGCTACCACCTTGCCATGCTGGCCTTGCTGAAGCTGCCCATCAGAGCAGCAACCAAGAGCAGACTTGGGTAGTCCCTTGGCCATACCTGAGGGTGGGGACCCTCCTGAAATGGAGCTGATGGTCCCTGTTGGCAAGAGCATCTAGCACTGGAGGGAGTCTTGACTTGGAGGCAAAGTGGTGGGCCCATGTTCCTAGCTTGGAGCATAGCCGCTCCCAGGGAGGTAGCCACTACCCCGGCAGGCCCTCTGTCCCCTTGGTGGCTGGCCCAGGGGAGCTTGGCTGATGAGGCTCCAGCAGATGGTGGACTCAAGTGAGCCTGGCTGCTGCAGGGTGGCTGGCTGTTGCCTGCAGAGCGGTCTCAGCCAGGTGCCCCTGCTTCTGGAGATCACCTGGGATCCCAGAGCCTCTTCGCCCATCACTGCTGCCTGTACCTCTCTCTGAGCAGCTTGTTGGGGGAGGGTCTTCCTGGAGTCAGGGAGGAGCAGCTGTTCCCGCGTGGAGCAGAGCAGCGTGTTGTGGGGTGGGGCTCCCCGTGCTGGTGGACCATGGTGGTTGCATTCGTGGCAGCCCAGAGGGGCATGGCCTGGACCCTGGCTTTTGAGATCTGTGCTATGAGGGGGTTTCACAGATGTTATCTGGTCTCCCTGATCTCAGGACATTGGATTGTCCTTAAGTCTTACTGAGCCGTGGCAGATCGTACTGTGGATGAGAGTCCTCGTGTACTCAGCACTCTGAATCCCAGGAGTCTCCCAGGAGCCTCTGCCCTGGGCCTGCCTGTCAGCAGGTGAAACTTTCCGTGGAGCTACTGGGCTGGGGGATGCCCTTTCCCTCAGCTGTGGGTCTCAGTGTGGGGTGCTGGGCCTGGCGAGAAGGCAAGCAGGGGTCTCCTGGGGACCTGAATGGGGCAGGAGAAAGTGTGAGTTGGGAGTTCCAGAGCAGTTGCATGGAGCCAGCAGCATTTGCCTGGGACCCCTGGGGAGCTGGGTGCTCAGCCAGCAAGGGTGGGGCTGAGAGTGGACAGCGGGGGCTACACAGAGGCCTGGGAGGGGGACAGTGCTGCAGGACCCTGTCTTTTGCACGGGAGAGTCTCAGCCACAGCCTCTCTATCCACAGGGCATGGGTGCCAGGACCCTTCCTCATACCAAAGTCCACAGATGCTCAGGACCCTTTTATCAAATGGCATAGTATTTGCATAGAACCTATGTGCTATTGCTTTTTCTTTTTTTTAAAGATTTCTGCATGGGTAGAAGATGGCCCAAGTCCTTGGGCCCCTGCACCCGCGTGGGAGACCTGGAAGAAGCTCCTGGCTCCTGGCTTCTGGCTTTGGATCAGCACAGCTCTGGCTGTGGCCAACTGGGGAGTGAACCATTGGATGGAACACCTCTCTCTCTCTCTCTCTCTCTCTCTCTCTGCCTCTGTCTCTCCCTCTCCCTCTTTCTGTGTAACTCTTTTAATTAAATAAATAAATCTTCAAGAAAAAAAAAAGATTTCTGCATGTATTTTGAAAGCATTACAGAGAGAGAGAGAGAGAGAGACATCTTCCATCTGCTGGTTCACTCTCCACATGGCTGCAATGGCCATTACTGGGCCAGGCTGAAGCCAAGAGCCAGGAGCTTCTTCTAGGTCTCCCATGTGGGTGGTAGGGACCCAAACACTTGGGCCATTTTCCGCGACCTTTCCCAGGCGCATTAGCAGAGAGCGGATCAGAACTGGAGCAGGCGATATGAAGCAGCACCCATATGGGATGCCGGCTCACAGGCAGTGGCTTAACCCACTATACCACAAGGCCCGCTTCTGTGCCTCTTATCTACTTTGAATCATGTCTGGGTTATTTGTCATACATAATACAATGCAAATGTTATGAAAATAGCTGTCATACTGTATTGTGTAGGGAATAATGACAAGAAAAGTCTATACAGAGGGACACACTGTGATTAAAATGTATTTTTGGTTCATGGTTGGTTGGGGACATAGAAGGCTGATTATATTTGCTTTTAAGTTGTTATTTTACGTGGTTTGGGAGTAATTATTTTTCAAAGATTTATTCTATTTGAAAGGCAGAGTTACAGAGAGAGCAAGATCTTCCAATTGCTGGTTTACTCCACAAATGGCCACAATGGCTGGAGTGGGCCAGGCCAAAGCCAGGACCCAGGAACTTCTTCTGGGTGTCCTACATGGGTGCAGGGGGCCATGACACCAGCCCCTTGATTGGGTGTTAATTTGAACCCAGCTGTTCTGGTACTCTGGGGAAGCCTTGGAAGGAGCCCCACGTGTGGCTCCATGCCTCAGTTCCCTCCTGGGGACCAGGGGCTGGCAGCACCTGCTCTGGTCCAGACAGGCAGGCAGACAGTCTTGAAGTCACCTGGCTGGGCCGGCCTTCGTGTTGTGTGACTCCGCTTAGGACTCCACCTGAGGCCGGCCTGGCAGGGGTAGGTGTTTCCACTCCACTGCATGTGCCGGTGCCGAGACGGGCGTCAGAAACCCCTTTCGCCCAGCGGAGCAGCCAGGACCGGCGGGACTGCAGGAAAAACCAGCGCTGTGGTCAGACTGGGGCAAGGTTCCTTTCACCCTTGGGCGGGAGCCGCTGTGGGCGACGCGGACCCTGCTGCCAGTGGTTCTTGCCCAGCCTCTTTAGCTGTTGTGCTAACACTTTGGAGGCCGTAAATCTTCCAGAAACATATTTTAGCCCGAGTTCCCCCCGCCCCCTCATTTTTGAAGCGGTGTAATTTGAAAGGCAATTTGATTCAGATGTTTCTTATTGCTGTGCACCCAAGCCGCCCAGAATGCTGTGTCTTTTCCTCCGCTGCCGCCGCCGCCCATGAGTTTTCTTTCCAAAAATATTTCTGCACCTCCCTGTGGTGTGTCTCCATGGAGCATCAGTGGCCCTGCCACTCCGATCCTCCGGGACACCCGGAAGGGCTGGACCTGGGACACTTGGAGCCGGGTCTGGGAGGCGGGGGTGTTCCTGGCTTCTGAAATCTGGCTGTCACACAGGCGCACGCTGAGTGGCCACTGTGGCCAGGCTGGGAGCCTTCCCAGCCTGGACCCCGCCAGCAACTTCATCTTCCCCCACTCCTGGCTCTGGGATGAAGCCCACCCCTAGACCTGCTAAGTCTGAGTCTGTGGGGTGGGGCCCAGACAGCTGTGGTTAAGTAAAAAACTTCTGGGTGATGCCGATAGAGTCTTTTTTGAAAACAAAACGAAATAAACCCTTAACTTTATTTCTTTATTATTTTCATTTTCTTTGAAAGGCAGAGAGACAGAGACACAGACTGAGTTTTCTTCTTTCTTCTGGTTCATTCCTCAAATGCCCACAACAGCCAGGATTGGGATAGGTTGAAGCATGTGGGTGGCAGGGACCCAAGTACTTGAGACATAGTCTCCTGCCTCCCTGGAGGTGCATTAGCAGGAAGCTGGATGGGAAGCAGTGGAGTCAGGATTCGAACCAGGCACTCCCATACTGACTGACTTAAGCTCCTGTGCCAAATGCCCAACCTCAAATCGGTCTATTTATTTATTTATTTATTTTTAAAGATTTATTTATTTATTTGAAAGTCAGAGTTACAGAGAGAGAGAAGGAGAGAGAGAGAGAGAGGTCTTCCATCCACTGGTTCACTCCCCAATTGACTGCAGTGGCTGGAGCTGCGCTGATCCGGAGCCAGGAGCCAGGAGCCAGGAGCCAGGAGCTTCCTCCGATTCTCCCACACAGGTGCAGGAACCCATGGACTTGGGCCTTCTACTGTTTTCCCAGGCCATAGCAGAGAGCTGGATCGGAAGTGAAGTA